AAAAAAAAACTGGATGCTGTTCTAATGACAGGTTTGCAGTTTCGAAAGCAAACGAGAAGTGGACAAATTCTTTTCGAATAGAAATGCAAAGCACTCACCAAAAAAAGCAACGACAATCATGCAGCATCCTAAGATGATCGTGATATAGGAGAAAGCGTATAATGTTGGAGCTTCCCAAAACGCTTCTTCAACTACTTGCCGATATCTGTAAACTTCACCATTTCGTCTAAAACTGTAAGAATGTGAGATTAAATACCTTTCACTGAGAAAATCCCGGAACCTGCTATCAGTGCGCAACCAAACACCCATGGCCAAAAGGATACTGCCGACTACCTGCATATACTTGAGATAGGACATTGCTAATGTACAAGTTACAAAGCTTCATGAGAACTGGTCAAAAATTTCTGATATCTACCGAGTTAGATAAGTAATATGAATACATTTCTCAACGTTGACTCAAACACTCCTTGCAAAATTCTCTGACTTGGTTGCCTCTAAGAATAGCGCAAAAAAGCAGACCACAACATATAACATGTCGGATTTGAGTGGATCTGTCGGATGATTTATGGTCCATATCCGAAGTTTCCTAGCAAGCCATAACTCTAGCTACAACAGATAGGTAAGTATGTTTTTACAAAGATAAAAACATGAGAACTCTCTTGTTTACTTTTTCACAGACATTTCGAAAAAATAGCTTGCCCTTATGTTTTGGGGTCCTAATTCCTCATTGCAGTCTACCTTCGCGAGCTAGTGCTCTAACCTATTTCATAATCGTTTACTTCCTTGTACATTCTCTCTTGATCTCCCTGCTGCATTTCTGTATTCTTGTGCTCTACTGATCTTCTCCCGCTCTCCCCCCTCCCTCTACACGTATAAAAGCCAGAAAGTAGAGGCGAAACAGGCACTATGGTAAAAATGCAATCTTCTAGTTATCGTTCATAATTTAAACAACAAACAGGATGTTTAGAGCCAGTTAAGGGGTTAATGTTGGATGAAAAGCTTATAGAACTCACCATGAACACAATGTTGGCAGCAAATATGCCGTATTTTAACCATGGTAAGCAGCTTCCCTCCTTCGTGCTTGATGCAAGACTAAAGGAGTTGATATCAATATGAGGTTTGATAATGAGCTTATGACTCACCTATATGATCGTGTGCGATAGTCCTCATTTGCTTCATTTCGTTCATAAACAGGAGAATACACACGTTGTTTTTCGAAAGCTCGACGATCCCCATAACGTGGATCAAATCGAGCTGTCATGTAAAATATGCAAGCTTGCAGCCGCCTGGAGGCAAAACCGTTGTCGTTGTGCGTACGCAACGCAGCCGCTCGCGTCCAGTGATCAGCTGAGCCTCGCTGACAAGACTCGGACGACCGTTTCAGGTGTTGAAAGAGGGTCTGTCTATATTTGTGCTTATTTATATGAGAGGCGCCAAAAACATGTATTTAAAGCAGCACTCTAGAATTCTGCCAGCGTCGCGGTTTTTGGCGTGGCAGTTAGGTGTGCTGTTGGATAAATCTTTGTCATTTCCCAAAAACAAAAGGGTGATGCAAAAATGAATGAGCTGATGCATTTTCTCAAGTGCAGAGTGCTGATTTCAAAAAA